GTTCTGGCCATTAGATGTAGCTCGTCTGTGTTGGGACATTCTTTTGAACAGTGGCTGCTTTGTTTGTGTTAGAACCCGTCCAGAGGACCTATACAATTTTTTTCCCTTCTCATTAATAACTTTATATTTCATTAGTTTGAAGAAATTTCTAGTTGAAAATAAATCACACTCCATAATTATGTTGACAGTAGGCTATTCTGTTTGAATTGGAATTAGATTTTAAATGTATTAATGTAACTAACAATATAAATTGGTTAGATTAAATTAAATTGGCTATTAAAACTGTTGTTTAACACTACAATATTAATATGAAGTTAACTGAAGTTTGGAGACATTTTAAAATGCTTTTATTCAGAAACGCATCTGACACTTGTGACGGTCAGGAGCGGGGAGACGGCCAAGCCGGGGTGGGGGTGCGACTGCTCTTCTTCTGAATAAATGAAAACTATGTAACACACCTGTTTACACTTAAATTTAAAATATTTGACCAAAGAAAACCGGAGCAGGACTAGAAAGGGATGAATATGATTTAGATTTTTGTTTCTGTGACTGTATAGGCCCTACGACCCACAGGAGACACATTAACAGCACATTTCATTCCTCAGCTTTAGCAGGTCTGACCTGCTAAAAATGACAGATTTTCTTTTCTGGATCTCTGACAGACGGACTTCAATCTCTGAACTCGTTAAGTTCTTCTTTTTTACTTTGCGATATCATTTATGAATGGACACTTCCTGGTATGTGTGGCAGGAAACATTACCTTATATGGAGTTTTTTGGGGTGGTAATTATGTAAATCACCTCTCCTCGTGCACGAGCACCTGATACACATTCATCAGTTTACGCAGCTCATTTACACCCTTTTCCTGAAGATAGAAGAGTTTGTTGAATCTGACGTGACATGTTCTTACGAACCCTTCGTACGAACAAAAGTAAGAGAAATTTAGGAKAAGAATACGAACATGTTCTTGCATGAGGCCCAATGAGTGTATATCTACACCTGTTTAACATCCCGAGTCAGTCCAATTCAAGATGACTGCCACGTTTAGTCAACCTTAGTCAGTTTCACTGAAACAGCTAAAACCTAAAAAGCGATGTCGATTAAAGATGTCCAGCTACCTGACACGTGTATCTGTCAGCATACAGGACCTGCCAGACKGTGGGGGAGAACTGACTGGGGATCRTCTGGTTGTGTTCTTCCAGGCTGAGAGGAACTGAAGTCAGAGAAGGAAATACAGTAGATCAGCACAGCTGCATCATGTCAGACAGCAACACCATCTCCCCCCTGTATGAGCTGTTCTTACTGGTCAAGTGGGCTTTGCTGAGCCTCTGGGAGCAGCTCAGGTTGTCCAGGTCTGGGTTCATGTCMTGATACAGCAGCAGTCTGGACTCCTTCTCTGCAGCCAGGGCTGGGTCATCCAGACGACACACCAACAGGCCCTTAGCACCTGATGAAATCAACAGCAGGGATGAAGTGATGCTTAAAGCACAACAGGCACATGATCCGTGACTTCACATTAGATGTGTGATGCTGAGTTGGTTCCTTCAGGACGTAAGTACCTCAGAATACTTTCATCTTATTTTACCCATACATGCATCAAAACATTCGGCTCATTCTWACTACGACTTTTTTTAGTTTCGGTTTTTATACTTGCTGAATTATTGACCTTTTTATCATTGAAATGGGTGAAAAATTCTATGTTCTTTGAAATCATGTTAATTTTTAGGTTTTAGCTACTCTCTAGCTAGTTTTGGTTTTTGGATGGATGTTTTGCTGGTCTCAGCTTTTAGATTGATCTTAGCTTTCGGTTATCCTTTTACAGCTTATTTATAAGCTACAGTTATTACAAAATTAGGTTTTTAGCTACTGTTTTGCAAGTTTTAAGTTTTTAGCTGCTGTTTTACTGTAATTTTTTGATGGTTTTGGCTTTTTTTTAACTGTTCTGCCAGTTTTAGCCTACAGCCACTGTTTTTCTGGTCTTTGCCTTTAAACTGTTTTGACAGCTTTCAGTTTTTAGTTGTTATTTGTGGTTCTGTGTTAGCAAAACTTTTCTTTACCTACCTTTTCACCAGTCAGTTTTTATACTTTTTTGCTGGATTTATCTTTTAGTTACTTGCTTGTTTTGGCTCTCAGCTGCTGTTTTATTAGTTTTAGCTCTTGGCTAGCATTTTGTCAATTCTGTTAGCTAATGTTTGCTAGTCCCAGCTTTTAGCTAGTGTTTTTACTAAATGTGTTTTTTGCTACTCTGTTGCTCCTTCTGGCTTTTAGTCAAAGTTTAAACATGTAAAAACCATTTTATATTAATGTAATGATTAATTTTAGCTACTATTCTGCTAATTTGTGCTTTTTTTGCTACTGTTGGCAATTCAGTTTTAGCTACTTGATCAAATTTCGTGRTTTTAAGCACTCGAGATTCACAGTTTCACTGTTTTATCACAAGTTTAAATGAGTTAAAGCTGGAAAACATGAAAAACAAAGAATGAACAGCTGAGTGTCAGTTTAGCTGACCATCACGTTAACCTTTAGCTTTAATGGATAATGACTATGCTGCATATTACAAGTCTAGTAATGATAATGGGGCAAATTACTTAAGCAGTTTGTAAAGTTTAAGTAAAAAATTATCAGTATTTTTAAAAGTATGAGCAAATTTCTGCTTATGGACCAGAACAGGCGCTATTTTGAGTGTTATAAGTGCAWAGGTTATGTTAAGTCATAATGAGCCAGTAATGTGTAATTATCAAAGTCCTCAGTGAAGATGAGCTCCTGAAGTGACACGACAGCAGCAGCACATCAGCATCGTTACCTTGGAACATGAATTTACTGATGAACTGGCCATTTCCCAGCCTCGCCTCTTCGCTCTTAAAACGACCCACCACCGTTTTCCCAGACGYCTCCAAACTAAGCAGCAGCGCGGCTACAAGTGCCGCTAATAATCGCGACATGTTCCAATAACGAASCGTAAGAGACATAAGAGAAATAACCGTTAGCCGACAGATTCAATGAGCCACGAAGCCATAAGTATAAACAGTTGTGTCAAGACGTCCACAGTAAGCTAGCGCTAAACCGGAAGTGCAATGTTTACACGCCAAAAACAAATGCTGATTAGTTTGTGAAATTACGCTTTACGGTTTATTCTTAATGCAGTGCTAGTAATAAAAACATATCACAGGGTCTGATGTGCATGTTGTACTCCCTAACAACAACAGCCACACAGATAAACCAAAGTCGTCTACTGAGAACTCTTATTTTGAAAAGAATAACCAGAACCAACAGGAGCACTTACGTTTACTTGAAAGGGGCGCATTGCTCCCTTCACCCGATGTTAGCTTTGACTGATTTGACGTCTGCCCAATTACATTGTACGAACAAGCTTACGTCTTAAGCTTTAGCCAACCAGRTAGTAGAAAGCGGACTGCGTGCGCTAAATGTCCCGCCTTGTTTCAACGTGTCAACAGTGCCGTAAAACACCTGACAAYTGTCGTGAACAGCACATTTCCGTCMGAGGAAAAATAAAGAAGTTGTTTGTGTTTCAGTCGACGCGCTCAGTATCAGTGAAACGAGTGATAAAATGAGGTTTTTATGTTTAGATGGAAGGTGAGAGCTGCCGGAAGATGAACTTTAACAGGACGRTTCTGGTGACAGGAGGCTCCGGATTCATGTGAGTTTCACTAATTTAAATTCCTGTAGTGTTACTGTATGACCGTGACAGTAGTTATATATAAAAAAGTGCTGAGATTAAACCKTTTAAATCTGTGCATTTCCAGTGGCTCTCACCTGGTGTGTTCAATGGTCAACAATCATCCTGAGTGGAGGATCATTAACYTGGATAATGTAAGCCCTTTATGTGCATTTTAACTCACTTCACCTTGCTGTCAGTTATTAAATAATTCAGCCAAGTGAATATTATCTTATCTAATGTCACAGCTGGATTACTGCTACAGCCCCAGGAGCCTGGAAAGCATTCAAGGCAGGAAGAATTACACCTTTATTCAGGTAAAAATGCACTATTTATTTCTTTCAGAAATATTGTGCTTAACTGTTAAAATCTTGTGTCTGTGTGTTTGACAGGGAGACGTGTGTAACTCACAGCTAATAAATCACATCTTCTGCACAGAAAACATTGACATCATCTTTCATTTGGCAGCTAAAACACATGTTGGTGAGCAGCAGCAGCAGCTCAGATCTGGTCCAGCCTGTTTCAGCCACTCTGAAGTGTCCTCCTTTCTCTCTCTAGAGTCCTCCTTTCAATCCCCCTCTGGTTTCCAGCGGGTCAACGTCGATGGAACCAGAGTTTTAGTGGATGCTGCTCACCGGTCTCGACACCGGCCGAAACGCTTCATCTACGTCAGCACAGATGAAGTGTACGGAGGCAGCCTGGGTGACGTCAGTGTGGATTTGTTTCTAAGCTGTTTGTGTTGCTCAGTGGGCGTGTGTTTAACCCCCCCTCTCCTGCAGGTGTTCCACGAGAGCAGTCCGTTGAGGCCGACCAACCCGTACGCAGCTACGAAAGTAGCCGCGGAGTGTCTGGTCAGGTCCTACTGGGACAAATATCAGGTAAACATTTAAATTGTGTTCCTCTGGACTCAAACCAGGCTGATRTTTTAAACAGTGACCGGTTTGTGTTGGCAGCTTCCTATCATCATCACCAGGAGCAACAACGTATACGGACCCCGGCAGTACACAGAGAAGGTACAGACTCCACCAACACCAAATTCTTGCTGCATCTGTAGGTTTCAAGGACTGACATGATCAATAATTACTCTCATTGTTTCAGGTGATTCCCAGGTTTCTCACCCTCCTGCAGAAGAACAAGAAATGGTCTYGTTACTATTCAGCGTCAGCGTTTGTTTTGTGAACGGCTCAAAGCATCAAATGAGTCATTCTGGTCTCTTTCCTGCTGCAGCACCGTTCAGGGAACCCTCCCCATATCTCGCCATTTCCTGTTCGTCAGCGACGCTGTCCAGGCCTTCCTTCTCGTTCTGGAGAAAGGGACCGTGGGAGAAATCTACAACGTGGGGACGAGTTTTGAGATTCCCATCACCCAGCTGGCACAGGAGCTGGTCAGAATGGTGGGTTTGGAAGCTTTTTTTTTTTTTTTTCCTGAAAGGGTCAGCCACCATCGGCTGGTTTTGACGACGTGCTCGTAAAGCTGCTTCTGGATCTGTTTTAGGTAAAGAACGTGCCAGAAGCTGAAACCAACGACTGGATCGAGTTTGTGCCCGGCAGGTGAGAGAACGACCACCTGGAAGAGATTTCTCTCTTTTTTTTTTCCCCGAACATCGAAGGTAAACTCTAGTTTCATCTCAAAGGCAGCGGGTTGACTTGCGTTACCCAATCAGCTGTGAGAAGCTGCAGCAGCTGGGCTGGAGAGAAGAGGTGTCGTGGGCTGAAGGAATCAGACGGACAGGTTTAGTAACAAAAACAATAAATATTGTGATTTTCGTTTTGCATTAGGTCACTTACCACACTTTCTTGGTCTCACAGTCCAGTGGTACCAGGACAACCCAGACTTCTGGTCAGACGTCAGCGAGGACCAAACAAAACAGCAAGAAGTTTAAAAACTCTCCCRACCAATAATGAGCCGAGCTGCCTGACTGACAGGAAGTAAAGTGAGCTGAGCCTTACTTATGTTGCACAAACAGCTGATTTACAGCTGAAACACGGTCACACTTCAACACAGAGGAAAATATTTTAATTCACACTGATGGACCAACAGGCTTTAAAGTGCCAGACACCAGGATCCCTTTGACCAAAATAAAGTCTTACCTGTAAAACATTGTACTTTATATTTATAATAAATACTTTTAGAGATGTTTTATTTTGCTTGGATTCCTTTTTAAATTACTTTAATCAGGTTAGTTTCCAAGTTCTTGAAAGACATTGCTTTGATTTCTAACATGGACTTTTTATTTTTATTTATTACATGGTTGCTTAAAAACTGGATTGTGATCAGGAAAAGTGTTTTTTTTTTTGACTTGTCAAATGCTAATTTATTTTTCTGCAACACGTTCCCCAGTTCCAGAAACATGATATCTTGTTTGCAAACATAAGTGTTTAAAGTTGCTCTAACTCTAAAACATTATTTATTTACACAGGTTTTATTTAATTCTATATCTGTTCCAGCTAAATCATCTCATCTCTGTCCAACTTCAGAACGGTGGGACATTTAAATTCACCTGATCTGTTCGTCAGCCATTTTTAACCAGAAGTTGAAAATTTCACTTTAGAAAGAAATAATTAAAAGAAAAAAAGAAAGCTTTTTTATTTTGGTACATCTTATGACTTGTAAAAACTAAATTACTGATGTTATTCAATTTATTTTCTATCCAAAAGCTGGAAACCTACTTACTTTCCCATTTTATGGTTCTAACATTAAAAGTTACCAGGTAAAATTTTTATTTAAATCATACCCTAACACTTAAGAGACACACCTTGTGGACACGAAGAGTGTGGCGACAACTGTATCATTACACCCACCAATTACCTGCAAAAGCTCTAAAGCTAGGGCTAATGAAGGCAATGTGCTGCAGCTTTAATGGATTTACTTCAAAATGTGTGGAAAGGAAGTTGTTTCTTTCAGTAAACTTTGACTCTCTTCTGACAATTCTCAGCAAGGTTGTGCGGCAGCTTTAGGTGGGACGTTTGTCAAATCAACAAAAATTTAAGTTAGCTGTTCATAACGCAAAAACGAGACGCGATTCTTTGCAGTGTAGGATGACGAGACCCCCTCTAACCTACAGTCTGATATTTAAAATTTGAAATGATTTGAGTAGCTGAACAAATAATGATCAATCATTCATGAGCAAGTGTTGCTTTTGCCAGTCTTTGGCCTATCTTGAAGACAAAGCAAAGTCATCTCTAAAACCAAGCTGAAGCTGTACGAGGATATTCCATCTGTTGCACTGAATGGTTCTGAGTGTTGGAGAGCAACACAGATCAGGATGAAAAACACAACAGCTGTCTGAGTAAATATTCTGTATATTCTGGCCCAAGAGAATGAAATTATACCAGAAGTGCAACAGCTTGAGTGTGGAGATGAAACACTGTCATCTTAAATGGAGGGGTCACAGAGGATGGAGAGTCAGCGTATCCCTGCAGTAGCATTGTGATGGATACTGGTAAAAGGAAACAGAAGGCCAAGAACAACATGGTGAAAGACAGGAGAGGAATCGTACCTGTGGCCAGTGACAGAAACAATTAAAGGCAGCTGATCGAGGCCCCATGTCCCTAAACGGATGAAGAGGACTAAGCCAATTATTTATATTTTCAAAGTTACATAACCAAACTTTGTTTCTCCATAAATCTTGTTTTATGCAGTTCTAGAGGAATGTAAACATTTTCTCCCAACTTAATTAATGTCAGAGTGTGACCTTGGCATGTTCATGTGCAAAAATGACCAGGAATCACTCGACAAGACGGCTTTAGGCAGTTGCTGGTAGATGACTTTAGTTGTAGCCTAGATTGAATCTGGGTACTTTGCTTATTCTCTCTGTGCATGAATGAGTTTTCTCTGAGTACTACGATTTCCTCCCACAGACCAAAAACATGACTGTTAGGCTGATTGGTAAYGGTAAATTGTCTCTAGGTGAGTGTTGGTTGCCTCGTTTGTCTATGTGKCATAGTGACTACTGGAAATGGGTTAAGATAGTGAATGGATGGACTTTAGGGCAGAGCTCATAGAGGAAAGGAGTTCCTTTTTGCTACAACTGTTAAGCAAATATACAGGTCCTTCTCAAAAAAATAGCATATTGTGATGAATTTCAGTATTTTCTGTAATGTACTGATAAACATTAAACTTTCATATATTTTAGNTTAAGGCCACTATCGAAGCATCCTGGGCCTCCATAACACCTCAGCAGAGCCACAGGCTGATTGCCTCCATACCACGCTGCATTGAAGCAGTCATTTCTGCAAAACGGTTCTCCACCAAGTATTGAATGCATAACTGAACATAATTATTTAAAGGTTGACTTTTTACGTATTAAAAACATTTTTCTTTTATTGGTCGGATGAAATATGCTAATTTTTTGAGATAGG